GTGGGGGGAGTTTCGTTTGGGGGGCGCCCGTAAGAAGCTGTCGGCCGCCGGAATCGAAATCCCGTCGCCCGCTTCGGAAGGACTTTTTTTTTTTTTTACATATATATATATAATTTTAGGAAAAGGGGTGGCCAAATTAACAATTAAAGAGTAGCAAGTTTTTAAATTTAAAACATAACTCTTCTTAAAATTTTTAAAACCATTATATTATGATTGTTAAATTAAAGATATAACTAATATTAAATTATTATTAAATATTTAAATTGAAGGTATCATTTCTAATGTATTATATAATTTTAAAAAATCATTTATCAATAAATATTCTAATATCATCTTAAAATTTTATTTTATTTCTTCTTAAAAAAACTCCTGCTATGCCAGTGCTAACGTAGGGCCGATGGATTAGATTTGATATGCACAGGGCCACAGGCCCACTGAGCCTCGCCCGTTTTTACATGGGGCATTTACATACGAGCACATAAAAATAGTAATATTTCACATCCAGTCGATTTATTCTATCCGATGTAAGTTTATCAATAATAAGAATTTGGGGGAATTAATGACAATAAATTAAAAATGATAATAAATAACCCCAAATGAGATGCAAACTACTTTTCATGAATCAAACCCGCTACCTTCCCATTTTCATACCAAACATAATTATAATCTCAAAACAGTCCTCTCGCAAACCAAAAAAAGAAAACTATTTGTAAACATTTTATTTGTCAGCTAATCATCAGCACATCATTAAACAAACAAAATACCCTCACCAAGTCTAAGGTGGTTCTCATCATCGAACATGGCTCCCATCAAAACACCAACACAAAGACACATATAAACATGAACAATTCATATTTATATACAAACCCCACCAAAATTCCATTCTTCAAAACCAAAAAACTTCCCACACACCATGGCTCAACTCATCGCCATGTTCTTCCTCGTCACCGTCACCGTCACCGTCACCGTCACCGTCACGGGCAATAACACCACCACCTTCAGCCTTCCCACTCAATTCTTAGCCCCTCACAACGCTATTCGCTCATCCCTCAAGTTACCGCCGCTCGCATGGGATCCGCTGCTAACGCGGTATGCGGAGAGCTATGTACTACGACGACAAACCGACTGCAAATTGGTTCATTCAGGTGGGCCATACGGTGAGAATATATTTTGGGGATCAGGTTCGGGTTGGAGGCCAGATCAAGCGGTGGCGGCATGGGGAGGCGAGGGACGATGGTACTCTGTTAAACCTAATATTTGTGCTGCCGGCCGAGAATGCGGGCATTATACGCAGATTATATGGCGAGCTACACGCCGGCTGGGATGCGCCGTCGTTAACTGTGGAGGTGGACGAGGACAGTTCATGGTTTGCGAGTATGATCCGCCGGGGAATTACATTGGGGAGAGACCTTATTAATTTGATGTGAAAAATATGGTGCGCGGATGAGATAGGTGCGGATCGGTAGTATTGGCGTGACATTGTGATAGTATTGGTGGTATTGGGGCGGAATTGGGGTGTAATACCACCAGAATATCACGGTCCGCACGTACGCTCAATACACTCAATATTTGCTCGATTTGATAGGAGGTTGAGAAGACTTTTATGTAATATTTGGAGGAATGATTATTATTTTTTAAATATTGTGATTAACTAATAAATTCATGGAAAAATATTTGATTCTAAAGAGATATAACTTGTAATTATTTAGCTTCTTCACTTTTTTTTTTGGGTTTTATTTGTTATAGATAAGACTAAAACCAAAAATAAGTTCATTTTTTTTGAAGATTTATCATTACATCTCTGAGTTTTCCTTTCATATTTTCTCATCTCAAGATTTGCATGAAGAGATTTATTATGATGCATATGAGATTTAATCTCAAAAACTTAATAATAGCTTTTTAGGACCTTATCAATTTTTAATAATACTGTCACCAATCTAATTACATCAAATGTTTAAAATTTAACCCAACATGATAATTTGACATGAACAGAAGTAAAAATTTCAAATTTAGGTTACCAAGATTACATTTTTGAATAAATTATTTTGAATAAGCGTTTAGGAGATTCAAAAGTTTGAGTTTGAAATTTGTAATGAGAGATTTTAAGTTTTTTTGTGGGATGTGTAACTTATAAAGTCAATTTTGGGTTAAATTTTAAAGTGACATATAAAATTATTAGATATACACAACATAAGCATACTCTTTATTGCCATCATTAGAGACTTTTTAAAGTTTTTTTTTCTACCTTTAAATTAATCTTCAAAACCCTATCCCCATTTTAAATAAGTAATATATTCCCACATCATCCGCTTTAAATTTCAAATGATGAATTCTACAAAATAAATCTTAAGTTTGCTGCTGCTACTATATATATATATATATTCAATTTTTAATTTTTAATGACTCATCTTAACCTAAAATTTTCTCCCTTTGCACCATGAGAAATCTCGAACCCTACATCAAAAAGTCCTTACAAAATGAGGTTGAAAGCTCTCGGTATTGTTTTATCTATAATTTAATCAGTCTTCTGAAAATTGGACCCTCCTATTCTCTCTCTCAAAACAAAAATAAAATAAATGCAACGAGTCATTACGATGAGCGATTGTGAATTTACAGAGCCCACATTGTATTTGCTTTGAAGATGTTTTTGTAATTTGAAATATGAGCTTTAGTGTTGTAGGATTTATTAGTAATAAAGCTTGAAGGTGTCATTGTGGGCAGCCTTTGTTCTGGGTGTATGCTTAAAGCATGTTTGCTTTACCATGTTTTGAAATTTAAGGTCATATTTCAAACTTGGGCATTGGATGTGAATACATATGGATGATGCGGTATGCATTCAGAAGGTTAAAGATGTATTACTATATGACTTAACCATACTTTCTTGCATGGCTAGTGAGACTCTGCTTGTTGGGAGTAAATATATATAAATAGTTGAAAGATGCAATAAGTACTAGTTCCCTCCTAAGCTGAATTTTAACATGAAAGGTTCAATGATGCTTAAATTTTTTTTATTATAGTTTATACAAGTTGAAATAATATACTTAATGCATAAATGAATATTTTATGATACTAATTGATTAGCTAAATGTTCTAAAAACTTTCATATTATCTCTCATACTTAAACTTTCACAATTACAAATATTATATGAAAAGTAGCACTCATTATTATCTTTTAATAGTCAAATCTATCTTTTCATCCATAGATAAAATTTTGTGTGTAAAAATGAAAATTTAGATGTGAGATAGGTAAATCTATAAGAATTGGGTGCTATGTATGCACTTTTCCCTTACAATTAATCTTTCACTTAATTTTGAGCACATTTAAACACTTAAATGCAATATATAATATATATATATATATATATAT